AGCTTTCCCTTGTCTATATTTTCTTCTCAGACTTTTTACCATGTTCATTTGTGCTTGCCTCTGAATTCTTTCTAGCTTGTTAACTTCCACTTTGCAGTTAGTGCAAATAACATAGACGGAAGTTTCTCCCAGTGGTGAATTGAGTGTTACCTCCAACTCCAGCCTCATGTGCAATGTTCACAAACCCTCTGGCGACACACAGAGTTTAAAAAAACCAAAAAAACACTCTTTTACAACTCTGTTTTCTCCTTCACCAAACTCACACCTAACAATAGCCTCAGCAGTGCTTCTCTTCTGTTAAGAAATGGGCAATTGCCTACATAATAGAACTCTTTCCATCTTATTTGTCTCCTGGAAAGCTTGAAGGCTGCAGGCACTCTAGCAAGCTACAAACGAGGAAATTGTTACTGCAGATGGGCCTCCAATCCATACTGCAAACACACAGAGTGCTCTCCACCGAAAAATGAAATTACCAATAGCACATAATTAGTTCTTAATTATTTATCATTTTTTGCTTAATTACTGCCACTCACAGGCTAACAGGTGATGAAACTCCTGGGCTGCATTTATGAAATGTTAAGGGAGGATTTGCAAGCTGCTGCCGTCTTTGATCCATTGATAAAACATTTCAGAAAAGGACTGGTGAATGGAGGAAAATGGGCATTATGGGATGTAGCAGGAGAGAAAGCCCAGGGAAAGAGTATCCAGAAAGGAGCGGGTGGTGATGAGGCAACTGTGAAAGAGTGGGGTGCATTTAACCTGAAGAAGAGAAGATGACGGGGACACCTCTGGTCCTTTCCTGAAACCTGACCATACTGGGAAAGAGAGCCCATCCACAGGTAAACTTGCACCCCAAACCTCACCTACCTGTCTACAACGATAAGTCCTCCTCACAGCAGAGGCAAAACCGAGCAGTCTCAATTCTGAAACGTGACTCTGCTCAAGCTTTTGGAAGCCTGTGACTTTAATGCATTCATGCCAGCAGGTGGGCTAAAAGGCCTTTTACTCAGTGCAGAGTGAAAAGTTTGCTCTCCTGGGGAGTTGATGGAAAAGGTCTTTGGAAATAGCCTTGTGCAAACAAATCCTCAGACCTCCATCCACGCGGGAAAAACTGGGCATGCCTCTTTTGATGCTGGAAGGAGGAGACCGGGCTGACTCAAAGGATCTCCCACATGCTCTAGCATGTCAGACTCTCGCATTCCAGCAGCATGGGGAGCTTTGCATGGGGTTTGGGGGCTAGTCCACTGGCCTGGGGCTAAGGAGCCCTCAGTTCTAGCCCCATTTGGCCATGAAGCTCATGGGTGGTTTGGGTTGGTCACTGACTCTTGGCCTAACCCGCACCATAGGACTCTTGTGAGGAGAAACATGTAGAAGCAGATGGAAGGCACCTTGGGCTTCTTGGAAGAAAGAAGACCGCTCTTGGTTATAGTAGTAATATTAGCCTGGTTAATGGAAGCTCCATTGATGGGAGATACCTGGGGGAAGTATGCTATGAAATCAAGAGCTTCAGTGGGCTTCTTGCACAGACATGGTGCTGCTGGTGCGCTTATTAGTGCGTCCGTGTTCCATGAAGCTTTCTCAACAAGTGAGATGCCCTGAAGAACTAAAAAGCTTCAAAGGCATGAAACTGCTGGACTGGACCTTGTTGTAAAAGAAGAATAGAAGGTCCTTGATGGGTTGGAGCAAAGGTGCATCAAGCAGGGCACCTCATTTCCAAGAAGGGCCAGAGAAGCTTCCGAGGAGCCCAGAAGCAATGTGGGATGGTCCCAGCCCACCCCTGGTATCTTCCCTTCTAGTAGCAGCCCCGTGGATTAAGTTTCAGGCACTGGCTGCTCCCTAGGCAACCCACAAGCCAATTAACTTTCAATTAAAAGGTGCCTGGGCTGAAGGACATGATGCAAAAGAGGAGGAACAATGTGTCAATTCAGCACTCCCTCTTTTTCTACCACCACTGCCTTCCTCCAGCTCCACCTGCTCAGGGGGATCCTTGTATCTCTGAATGTGGACCTACTTATGTGTAAACGTATTTATTTATTCTTTATTTATTTAGGGGACTTCTATGCCGCCCCATTCGCCAAAGCCTCGGGGCAGCTCACAACCATAAATAAATAGAATCCAATAAAACAATATAAATTAAGTCACCCTGGCCAAAGAATAAAATAAATAAATAATATTAACAATTAAAATGACGTTTGAACAAAAAGGTCTTCGCCTGGCGCCGAAAAACAAATAACGACTGCGACAGGCGGACCTCTCTGGGGTGCAGAGAAAGCCCTCCTCCGAGTACTCACCCTCCTAATTTCCTTCACAGAGGGTTCCCAGAGAAGGGCCTCTCCCGCTGATCTCAAGGGGCGGGCATCTATAAACTTCACAACCGAATGCGAGTGAGGAGGATCCCAGAGACTCCACAGGGAGGAAAAACCCCAGTGTGGGAGGGGAGCCTTGTTTCTCAGTAGTCATTCTATGTAATCAGCCTCTCCTCCTCAAAGGAGCCCCATTAGTTTCCCTCACAAGGCAGCAATGCTCTCGGGTGCAAAGTGTTCGCCATGTTTCACACCTTAGTTGACCTCAGGTTGATGGCGGTTTCTCCAGTGAACGTTCCTGGCTTGGTGGCCATGAGGACGGAATGCAGTGACATGATCCTTGCAGAAAAGCTGGGATAAAAGTGGGAAAAAGGAACATGACTTCCCAGATGGAGTTCAGGCTCAATCCAGTCCAAGCCTAGAAAAGGACGGGACTCCCAGCACTCTCTTCATGTGAGGCCTTTCGTTCTGTCTAAACATGGCCAGCATCATTCCCTTGGAATGATAGTGCCCAGGAGTTGCAGGGGGGTTCCAGCAGATATTCCGAAGCTAGCACTTCTCCAAAGGTCTTGCCCCTGCTGCATGCAAGTGTTCTCCTATTTTTTTCCAAAAATATTCTACTGTCGTCCGCACTGGCGATCAAGGAATCAAAGGGCTAAAGGTAGCTTCTTTTTTGTTTTGGAACTAAATTTAGTCATTTTGACGCCCTGTGCATGCCACTGAGCGGCAAGAGGTTATGCTCAGCTTGGAAACAAACTTGACGTATTTGCTGTTATGCTGCTTGGAGTAGCTTTGGCACTTGGACCCCTGCATGACACCCTGTGTGACAACTGTGTGAAAGCAGACCTGGACTTCTAGAACTTCCTCACCCCAATTAAAGAGTTGCTCCCAGTGCTCAGCTGAAATCTACCTTCCTGCCGCTTACGCCCATTAAGTCTGGTCCTGAGCACTTTGGCGACAGAGTACAATTCTTAGCAATTTTCTTTGCGGCAGCCCTTTAAATCCATTTTCCAGTTTAAGTGCTATTTCTGAACATCCCTCACTTCAGGGGAACCATTTCATGTTTACATAAAACCCCTTCTTCCTACCCAATTCAGTGCTTTATTTGTTTCTCCATTCACCATGCCTATCTTATCCATCAAACGGAGAATGGAAACCCTCTAGCTACAGATTACGCTAGATTTGGGTTGCATACAGCTCTTATTCCCAGTTAGATTAAGTATATATGTTAGGTATGGCAGAAATGCTATTTCATTGATGCATTCTTTTTTCCCTGGAATTCATAAACCACTCCATATCTAAACAAGATCCCCAGTCATGAACAGAAATGAAACAAAACGAAATGGAAGAAGAGGAAGAGGAAGAGGAGAGAATTGAAATTCAAAGTTATCATAGCAGTAAAAATAAACTTAGTGTTTGTAAAATATCCAGTGTAGGCAAAGGCCTGCTTAGAAGTAGGTCTTGTTGCTTTCAGTGAGATTTACTCCTAGATAAGTGGGTATAGTTTTGCAGCTTCTTTTGGTCTGGATTAGTTAAATCTAGTACCTCTGCATCTCACAGATTGTTGGAGTTGTTGGCTCGATTGCTGTTCAGGGATAAAAATGCTTTCACCCTTCTCCCAATTTCCTGAGCAAACCTTCCTTTTGCACTTGCACAAATTTGGCACTGTGCGAATTTGTACATTGAAAATTATGTGTATTACTATTCTATCTAGGCAAGGAGGGAAATGCACTCTTTAAAAAAAGAAGTTTTATGTATTTGTGACTAAGATTCTACGAAGTAAACAAATTGGTCCAGTCTACAAACCAGTGAGACTTTTTACTTTTAAAGATCCACATAGAAACATGTATGTATGTGCTTATACACTTTTCCTACTATAGGTAGTTCTGTGCGTATCTTTTCCCCAAATATATCTATTTCAGTGCACCCTTCTTGCTAAGCGATGCAGCCTTTATACACTACTTTTCCTTATTTCTCTGTGCTCACATTCATTTTTTTAAGGTGCATGGATTTTTGCATATCCCCTGTTATAGAAACAGAGGAAGTCAGAAGGGGTCTCCCGGGCCATCTAGTCTGACCCCTGGCTCTAGCCGCTCCGCTCACAACATGCCTACCATGTGCATGTCTATGCACATATTTGTTGTCTCATGGAGAACTGCAACGTTAAACTTGTAAAATAATGCATCCTTATAAACAACTTTATTCCAGTTTGCTACTGGTGCAACACATTTGTATTCGGTAAATGTGTATAGATCTTGGGGGGCTAGATTTAGAGCATTAGACTAATTATAGCAACAGACATGGAACAAGGTGATCTGGGTTCCAGTTCCCATTCAGCAGGAACTTGCAGTCATGTAGTTCGCTCAAGCCAGACAGTCTCCAACTCCCTCTCTCTCTGCAAAACTTAGGTATATGAAACATTGCAAACTGGTTCCATGTGAGTTTGACCAACTTTTGGCACATTTCCATTTTTTTCAACTTCTGTGAAATTGCACAGGTTATGCGAATAGGAAGCTGAGAACTCATCTCTAGTGCCAACTGTGCAAATTATGCTTTGCACAAATTGCAGTCAAATCACTGGATCCATGTTGTTGTTGTTGTTGTTGTTGTTGTTGTTGTACCGAACATGAGAACTAAAGAACCCCCCTCCTGTCTCTGAATATGCATCCAATACACATTGGATTTTTTTTATTTCAGATTTGGACTGAAACCAAGCCTCTGTTCTGCCATTTGCACACATTTACACAATTTGCCCGCTTTTGTGTAAATGGAGAGCCAATTTTGCTACATATTGTACTGCAGAAAAGAGAAGAGAAAAGAGAGACAACAAAATGAAGCTACATCAATGGAATGGGACGGAACAAAACGAAGCAATAAAATAACTTTGCAGGCTGGTTTGACTCAAGGACATTTCCAAAGAATGGACAGAATGGAACCTGTGGAACTGAGTTGAGAAAACCTGTTGGATTTTCAGCTGCTATAGTCCAGGCTACCAAACAGGGTTGTTGTGAGGATAAGAGGAGAAGGAACCCTTTATGTTCCTCCTTGACTGAAAGGTGGGCTAAAAATCCATCTAAGGAAACAATGTCACCCTGGTGCAATAAACCAACATCTCCATTCCAAATACATTCCCTGTTTCCATTCGATTGTCAGAGTAATTAAGGAGTGAAGGTTGAGAAGCCTGTTGTAAAATGAATAAGCTCCAAGCCCGGTTTCATTAGGGATGCCAGGCCTCCATCGACCTGGGCAGACTCGGCCTGTGAGAGATGGGAAATGATGCTATTAAATTCAGCTCAGTCAAACACAGCAGCTCCCTCCCTCTGTCGCACCTTGGAAGAGCTGCCATGATGAGCCAGAAAGCAAAGCTGATGAATTTCATTAGAGGGTGTGTGTGTGTGTGTGTGTGTGTGTGTGTGTGTGTGTGTGTGTGAGAGAGAGAGAGAGAGAGAGAGAGAGAGAGAGAGAGAGAGAGAGAGAGAGAGAGAGAGAGAGAGAGAGAGAGGAGTGTGTGTGTCTGTTAAAACAATACAGGATTTACATATCTAGCTTCTGTTACGCTCACCTCACAAAAGACATTATAGAATTATCAGAGTGGTGCTTGCCAACACTACCTTGAAAATACCCAGCGTGGCCTGGGGACACTGAGCCCAAATCGGCTTTCTTCAGCCTGGTGTTCTCCAGACGTCACCCCTGCCAGCTGGCAAGCCAGGGGCACCTCCGGGCGGTTTTGCACTCCTCCTGCTCTGCAGCACAGTGAGATCACGGCTTGTGTGTGCAGTGGGAGAAGAAGAGAGAGGTCTTCTAGGGTGTGTGGCATCCTGGCATCACAGCTCTTCCTGCCTCACCTCCCCCAGAATGCAACTCTCCAAAGTCACTCTGGAACCTCAGAGAAAAGGAACCAGCATGGTTCTTTTCACCAATCGTAATGGGAGTCCAAAGCCTGTTCTGCTTGGGGGTATGTGGGATTGAGATGTAGAGACATAGAAACAGAGCGAGTCTACCCTCAATGCAGTAGAGAATTGTGCATGTTTATTTGGTTTCTTCTTCAGCATGAAATCTGCATCAGACGAACTGATGTGCCTCTAGGTATGTGCTAACCAGAGGACTTCTTTCTCATTCATGTATGTATTTGTTGTACTTATACTCCACTTCAGCCTGTGCTCTGCCTCTTAAGTGCACAACAGCTCTGTGAAGTAACATAGAAACAGAGTGAATCAGAAGGAGGTCTCCCAGGTCATCTAGTCTGACCCCCAACTTCAGCCGGCTCCTCTCATAACATGCCTACCGTGTAAGTTAGGTGAAATTGTTTCTTGAGTGTTCTTCTCTCTTGGGTGATGCATTTTAAAAGGCATATTTCCAAAGACCAAAACAAGGGCAAACTATGTGCAAAATTCAATTTGGACAGAATCTCACAAAGGCAAAATACAAAGCTTCCTTCTCCCTCCCTCCCTCCCTTTCTTATTTGCCTGGTGTAAAGTACAAACAAATCTGGTAAATTATGGAAAAGAAAGATTGATAGTTGAGGATTCTGTTTAGGGGGCATGATCATGTAACAAACAAAGGCCCTAACAGTATTTGGGGGCAGGAAAACGGAAAGGATGCAATTAAGCATTGGCTGGAAAACTGGGGTGGGAGTTCCCCACAACATCAAGTTTAGCTATTGGAAGTAGTTTGGATCCCGAAATTCTGCTGTTCCTTGAACTCGGCTGCAAGCTTTTCCCCAGGAGAAAAGGACAGCCATGGCATCTTGAGCTAATTGGCCATCAGGACAATAGAATGGAGGATCAGTCTTACGCCTCAGCTCTTCAAAGCCCGGGAAATTGATCCCTCTTGGCCAAACTTGATTCGCAGGACCTGAATGGTCCCCCAGACGTCAATTATCCTCGACCCAGGAGACTTGCTTTGCACGTGTCCTCATCCCAGGGGTGGATGTTCTCTGCCCATCTCCCAGATAGTGCAGCAACACAAGGGGACAATTAGTGCTATGGATGGACGAGCTGATAAATAAGCTCCAGATATCAACCATCACACCAGCTGTGGAAGTCTTGGCAAGCAAAGTTCCCCTGAAGAGTTCATTTGGAAAGGGCAGGGGACGTCCCAAACTGGAGGAAGTCATTCTTTTTCCTTGTTAAGATGCTTGGAGGACTTGAGGATCTGCAGCTCCTCAAGCTAGAAAGCGTGCATCTTATTTTCATCAGATGCATTTTTTTATTTTCCATAAAATGCATTGCAATCTGGAAATGCAAAGATTTGTCCATATAAGGTCCATGTTGGGTTTTAAATAATGTGGATTGAAAATTAAATGGATGCAAAGAAAACAAAAAATTAAACTGGTCCGTCCTAGAGGAGATCAACCCTGACTGCTCTTTAGAAGGCCAGATACTGAAGATGAAACTCACATACTTTGGCCACCTAATGAGAGGGAGGGACTCCCTGGAGAAGCCCCTGATGCTGGGAACGATTGACGGCAAAAGAAGAAGGGGACTGCAGAGGATGAGGTGGCTGGATGGAGTCACTGGGGCAGTGGGTGTGGGCTTGGGTGGACTCCAGGGGATGGTGGAGGACAGGAAGGCCTGGAGGAAGGTTGTCCATGGAGTCATGATTGGTCGGACATGACTTTGTGACTAACAACAAAACAATCAGTCATAGGTTCTAGGAGGTTTCCCAGCTGAGATGGATGGAGCTCTTGTTGAAGACCTGGCCAATCTGTGGCATGCAGAAACAGCTGTTGAGAGTGTGGTCTATAGCAGAAGCTCATATGGTTCTAAAAGAGATGAAGCAAAACAGGAGAAAGCTTGCGTGCAGATGGGGAAAGGCGCTTCGTGGGTGTAGTCAAACTCTGGTATGTGCCCATCATCAGATCTACTTGGCACAATGAAGCAATGAAACTACTCACTACCCTCTTTGCCGCTCAGTGCCAGTTTAATGGACGAAAAAAGGCCAAGAGATTATTCCATCACCAGCCGCAACAACACTTTCACACTGTCCAACAGCTGCAACTTTCTGGGGAGGTTACAATAATTCATAAAATAGTACAGTTTTGCGAAAGATTGGCTACATACTAGGGATAATTAAGAAAGTTACTTATGACTTTTCAGAAGAAAACGTCCCTAATTTCTTCATAAACAGGATGGATCTAAGTAGAAAATAAAGCAAACTGGACAAAAATGAATGTGGAAAAGTCTAAAATGGTTAGATTTGTCTGTCCAGGTCGAGGGCTTTGAGCAATGAACAGTTCTGAGTTTGTGGCACCACTTGAATTCTAGTTGGCTCCCATTTTTCCCCCAAGAAGCTCCTCACCTTGAGCAGACCCATTCTCAAGCCTGCATATTTTAAATGAGGACTTCCTGAAGTAGCCTTTCGTCTTAATTCTCTGCCATTAAGAAGAGAGAAAAATAAAGCCTACCAGAAGTCTTTCGGTCTGTCAGAATAAGGAGAAGAATTGTAGTGGGCAGAGACCACAGAGGTGCTGCTGGGAATGAGTTCTCCTGTGGAGCTGCCGTCTCCCCTGTTGAGTGTCGTCACCCTGGAAGCTGTTTTCCTTGGTGGACGGACCACTTAGAAGACTTGTTCCACAGAACTGCAGAACAAGGCGAGAGAGACTGAAGTTCTTCCTAATCACTGTGGGGTTATGCAACAGCAGCTAAGCCTCAATCCACCATATATGGGAGTTAAAATTCAAACTAAGGGTGGATCTCCCCACCCTGAGAAAGCTTGTGCTACAGCCCTTGCAGGACAGTACCATTTGAAGATGGGGTGTAGGGGAGATTGCTAGTTATGGACTTGCAAGCAGTCTGTTTGGTTAGGACTGTTACAGGTTTTTTGTTTTGGTTTTCTAACAGTAGCAGTGTTGTTGTGTTCGGCTTGGTCTTATTCATTTCATCGAATGAAATTTAGTTAGCTAAATCCCCAGTTATTAGCCAGGCACTTTGTTGCTTTGTAGCCCTGGAAAAAATATCTGTTATGAGTGTTCTATTCCTTTGCAGGACATAATATGTTCATGCATGCATTAAGTTTGAAAGCTTTTCAGCCGGCAGCTTGCTTAAGGTGATTTAGTAGTAGTATTAATAATAACAACAACCAAGTCCATCACCACCCCCCATGCAATGCAAGATACAAATGAAGCACTCTAGGAAACTCAGCATCTAGAATTGATGTTTTCAGTATGAAGCTATTGCACACATCCTTCTGATCTGTTTCGTGGGCAATCTAAGACTTGATGAGGAGGGAGTAGCCTCCCGAAGTTGCAACTTCAGTTGGTTCTCTGGATGAAACAGAAGGAAGGGGGAGAGGGAGGGGGAGAGAGCGTGATATAGAGAAAAAAAGATGGGAGGGAGGGAAGGAGGGAAGGAGGGAAGGGAGGAAGGGAGGAAGGGAGGAAGGGAGGAAGGGAGGAAGGGAGGAAGGAAGGAAGGAAGGAAGGAAGGAAGGAAGGAGAGAGAGATTGTGGAAGGAAGGAAGGAAGGAAGGAAGGAAGGAAGGAAGGAAGGAAGGAAGGAAGGAAGGAAGGAAGGAAGAGAGAGACAGTGAAAGAACGATATAGAGAAGGAAGGAAGGAAGGAAGGAAGGAAGGAAGGAAGGAGAGAGAGACAGTGAAAGAACAATATAGAGAAAGGAAGGAAGGAGAGAGAGACAGTGAAAGAACGATATAGAGAAAGGAAGGAAGGAGAGAGACAGTGAAAGAACGATATAGAGAAAGGAAGGAAGGAGAGAGACAGTGAAAGAACGATATAGTGGAAGGAAGGAAGGAAGGAAGGAAGGAAGGAAGGAAGGAAGGAAGGAAGGAAGGAAGGAAAGACAGAACTGTAACTGAAAGCAACCGTCGCCAGTGCATCTTACTGTAATGCTCTTAATCCTCTGGGCATCCAAGTATCACTGCTGTTCTCTTTTACGCCATAGCCATCGTCATGGTCAGTGGCAAGGCCGGTGAAGCACACGGGGTCCTACTAGTGTCTGGATAGCCATGATTCCCCTAAGGCAGGAATGGGGAA